GCGTAAAACGCGGTGATATGCAGTGGTCGTAAAATATATTTTTCACTACTGTTTCTCATATCACTAGGGTGAAACTCCACTAGGCCCTCGAAAGATGATTTCAACCCGTAGTCTTCGATGAAAAATCCACAAAAAAACATTTTATTCCACAAAATTTCCCAAACACTGATCGCTAGAGCTACCAAATTTCCGCCCTGTGAATACTATTTGATAACCACTACACGGGCAACTGTGTGCGCTGACCACAGCAATGAGGAACTGCTGAGGAAAGTCCAGCGAACTCTCCTTCGTTATCGTACATTCTTACCCTACTTCGCGTGAAAATTTCCAGACTTCACAATGAAAAGCCAACATATATCCAAACACTGCCCATGATAACAAACCTAGTCAAGAGTACCTTGTTAGCCTCCAACTGCTGTAGCCTCTCCTGCATCACCTTCATCTTCTCTTGGAACTCCTTCTCTCGAGCTTCCATCACAGCCTGCATCGCTGCAAGCGCCGCCTCTCTACGTTCAACCTACACAACAACAACACCATCCTTCCAACACTCCACAGAGTAGGTCCCAGGTTCGATCCCGGCACCTTGCACTACTTCCTGTTCCTTCCCCGACTCCGCCTCCTTAACCGCCTGCGCCTCCCGCTCTTCATTCTCCTTCCTCAACCGCTCAGCCTCCAACTGTGATTGCCTAGCCGCCTACACATAAACACACAATTCGATATAACACATGGATCCCAAAATCTTGCACCTCTTGAGCTTCCTTAAGTTTCCTCAACTCTTCTTCACGCTCTTTCCTTAACGCTCCCTCCCTCTCCTTTTCCTCTTCCTCCCTCTTTCGTTGCATTTCCTCCTTTTCCTTCCTCACCGCCTCCTCGACCGCTTGCCTCCGACGGTCCTCTTCAGCCTTCCGAGCCGCTTCAACCTGCCTCTGCCTTGCCTCTTCCTCCTCACGCCTCTTCGATTCATCCTGGCGCTTCTGAGCTTCTTCCCTTCGTCTCCTCCACTGCTCCTCCCTCTCCACCCGAGCTTTCTCTTCCTCCTGTTGCCGACGTAACTCAGCCTCCTCCTCCTCAACTCGTTTGCGCTCATCCTCTTCCATTTTCTTCTTCTTCTCAGCCTCTTCCCTCTGAGCCGCC